GTGTCAGGAAAGAGGTATCTGACACACTCAGCGTTAGCTCCTCTGCAGGAGCAGAGAGCTCAGTGCAATACCGTGCAGGCACGGGGCTTTGTCTGGGCACAGCCAGTACGGAGAAAGGAGTATTTCTGAAGTGTTTCACAGTCACCCTACCCTTTCATGACCGCTTCTACCCAGGACTTCAAAAGGAGAGGATAAGCGGGTGACACTTCAGGACATCTCCGAGGTGGTCACAGCAGCACTCTGCTCTGCTGGAGAACAAAGCGGGTACAGACGCCGGCCAGGGAAATCCGTGGCAAATGCGAAAACGTAACCTACAGGCTAACCTACAGGTGGGTGCAGCAAGACTGACTTCAAAGGTACAGCAAGACTCACCCTGCCTCATCTCGTGTCTTCTTTGGTCTTTAAAAGCAAAGCAGGGCAAGTCAGAAGTGGGAAAAAAAAAAACCCAAAACAACAAACCCAACCTTTTCAGATCTTCTTATCAATCATACAGGATCTCAGACAGGAGAAAAAAGGAAAGTGGGCGGGCTTTGTACCAAGCCACCACGTGCGTTGCATTCCTTTTGCCTAAAAATGTGCTCCCGGTTACTGTCAAAAGTTAGGATGCCAGTTTTTCGTCTAACCTAGTACTGAATTTTTAGGGCCATCTGGAGAATGCGATGTATTAACTTTCAACACCTTCATTACCGCGGTGCTTTTGGTGATACAGCAATGTAGCAAAACATTTGTTACTGCTTTGCTAAACCGGCTTTAAAGAAAACAGAAGTAATTCTTCCGTGAGTGGAATCTGAGGCATCTTCTAGGTCTATATATGAAGGTTTACTTACAATTATGCCTGCTGTAATCTACTCAGCCAGCAATTAACAGATGTGTATTTGCTCAGGAATTGAAGTGCATCAGAACTAATCTGCACTTTTGATTAAAATTTCAAAATGAGCAAATTTGCTCTTTAATTGAAAATTTCCTAAACAATTGGAAGTTTCTTTTAAGATGGAATATTGAAATTGCAAAAGGAAAATTTGCATTTTAAGATAGTTTAGCACAAAGGAAATACGTGGCAACTAAATAGTATTTTTAGACTTACTAGCAAGGCACACGCATCTGCCACCATGAGCATGTAAAACACGTTGTTCCAACCAGATGGGGAAATAAGACCAGCTAAGAGAGGCCCCAAAGCCGCACCTAAAATATAATATTGATATTGTCAGAATGATGCAACGTAAGATTTACTATGACGAAAGATTGTTATTCTGGGTTAGAATATCAATTTCTCCACCTAGTTAACTCAGTATTACCTTATGTATTAAAAGGTCGCAGAAAGTGCAAAACATTACTGGTACAGCTGCAAGGCAATGTGAAACCTAACACAGGGGAAGCTGGGAGACTAGAAGTTTGCGAAATGCCTGCCCTTGGCTCAACAAAATGCCCGTCCAATATTAAGCTGAATCCTACTCTATTTTCCCTTCCACATACCAGTGCGGAGGCCATGAATAAAATATCCCTGATCTCAGAAACAGCCCAATGGCATTTACTTTTGCTGTCTGTGCCCAGTATCAGTCTACCACCCTCTTCCTTCCCCCCCACCTCAGCGGCACCACTAGAGAGGTTTAAGGCTAAGTTTGCTCTACTCCCCATTTCCAAAGCTGTACCGACGCGTGGCAAAATGTGGAGAGAGCCTAGCTTCTCAAAGATCCTTTGTTTTAACCTACCACAGCTAAGGCAGGCTACCTTACAGCTCTGGCTTACCTACAGATCCTGTTCCATCGATGATCGCTGTCACTGTGGACAAGGCTCTTGCATTCCCTTTCAGGCTTTTATGGGTACCCTAGAGAGACAAAGACTGCTCAGACCCATCCTGAGCTGAACTCTGAAAAAATCCTTAGAGCGTCATCTAGCTCACACCCCTCCATATTAGATGTACATTGTGAAGATGCCTTAAAAATCCTAGCTCAGACCCTTTTATCACTACTTAAAGAAGCCTTCTACTCCATCAACCTGTTGCCTACAGTGTTCTCCTCTATTAAATCATGTTACTAAAACCACAGGAGCCAAGAAGCTTTCTGTTCTGCATACTCTGGATTCAAGCAATAAGGACAGCACTTCAGCTTTGCATTATGCTGCAAGGCTGTTTCCATGGCCCTCTTTTCCCTTGCTAATACAGCAAATTTTTGTGGAACCGGGGAAAAAAAAAAAAAAAAAAATCACTGCTGTGACAGGAATACTAGAGTACTGGAATTATGGATATATACCAAAATGCTAATTCAGAGAATTCTTGAGCCAAAAGAAGCTGTTCAGTCCCAATTTTAGAAGCCGGGTCTTCAGAAAAAAAAAAAACAATTGATAAAGGGAGTGACTTAGTAGAAAGACAGAAAAACTGAATAGTTCAGAGAACTGCTAAGACAGACAGTCCTTTATCTCCAGTACATCGAGGAGAATACAGTCAAGTAATCAGTAATTTACATTTGCTTGTGTCAGATGTTTGATGGCTGACATCCTAGGAACCGGTTGGCAGTTTCAACCCTCTTCTCAAGGGCCAGGTAGGGATCTTGCATGTCAGGCCCCACTTTCTAGCTAGCAGCCCCTTCAACAAGGCTAAGGATAAAATGGGCAATGCATGGTGGCCTTCTTTGTCTTGCCAAGACCTCCAGGCCAAGGATAAGACTCCAGAGGACGTTTGGAGATTTCTGTCCTGCTCCTTTTCCTATATTTAGAACATTTGTTGTTAGAGGAGTTTTGCCTCTTGCTTGGTGCCTTAAGGAATGAGGACCTTTGGAAGCAACCTTCCAAAGCCTACCTAATGAAAGGTACCAGGGTCAATGTTTTCACACAGCATTTGTGACTGACTGACCCGATCCAGCTGGAAGTGCCAGCAACCAGAATAACAGTACAAGAAATGGCAGAGGGTAGCACGGACAAAAGTAAGGGTATGTGCCATATATAGCTTTCCACACTGATGGGAATTAGGTCTCCAACTCATCTCTCACGCACTCAGCCCCTCCCCTCATTTAAAGATGCAAAGTATAGAAGGGGAGGAGGCACCTGTACAGACACTTGACCTTGCATGCAACCTTCACATTCACTTTGGGCTGTCATCTACAAGATTTGGGCTGTCTTGTTAGTAGCCAAGAATAATTCAGAAGCCTCTCACAAGCATGACACGTATTCATACTAATACACAAACTCTAAAACAATCTCAATGGCCGAGTTCAGCACTGCCTACCCAGCTCCTTATCCCTCTACTTTGGGACAACGCAGCCCCTTCACTGATGACCCTGCAGAAGTCAAAGGGCTCTCTCTGGAGGCCAAAGCTACTACACTGGAAGCAGAGGGGGAGCCAAACTCACCAAGTCGGCAGAGACAGCAGTGGTGATCAGCGCGTAAGGGCCGTTCACCAGGGCACCACTGATAAGCAGCATCACTGTGGCAAGTGGGACAGAAATGGAAAATGTGAGTTGCTTGCATGACTGTTAACCACAGCAACAGGGAACATCATAGCCTGTGGTTCTCAAATGGTTTAATCCTTCCTTGGCTTCCCTGGCCCCATTACAGAATTGGGAAAAGAGGAAAAGCAATACGTATTTGTATCTCCCTGCAGCGCTTACTCCATGACGTGAATTCTCAAATTTAAGAGGAGACAGGGCTGAGTCAAAAGACACTTCCCAGGGCCTTTACTGATCCCAGTAGGTCAGAGAAAGGGGAAAGTCTGACCAAATTGGCCCTAAGAGCAGGGGATGCTCACAGGGACCCACCCATAAGCCCCTTCTCTGCTTGTACAGCACCAAGCACCAGAGGGCCCTAAAACTTAATAAGGCCTTTAGGTAGATGAGACACTACTGTCAGCAGTTGTGTTTCAACTTCTGTTTTCAGGTAACAGATAGAAAGACACAAGTTAATTCAGACTAAACAAGTAAAGCCAATGTTGCTGTCAAAAGTACTACAAGTAGTCTTTAAATACCTCTGACACTGGGCATAGAGAATATAATAAAGCCTGTGCTGACACAACAAGCTCCAGAAAGAAGACTAATGATATTAACTAAATCACTGTTCTCATGCCACCCCTTACTTATTTCCTGGCCCCTTCCTTACCCCATAAAAAGCCTGCAAGACAAAGTCTAGGGAATTTGATTCCATATTTCCTCCTCTCAGGGAAAAAATAAAATAAAAAGAAAAGAAGGGGGAAGAGCATCAAAGGATCATAAATGAAAAGTTCACATAAAGCCAGACAGAAAATAACTTAAAAACACTCACCTACAGTAGCCTCAAGGCCCATTTTACTGACTGCAGAGAACATGTACAACTGTAAAGATGAAAAAAAAAACATGTTGGATACCAACATATGTACTAATCTTAGGTTCCCCATGTTCCCCAGGCTAACTAAAAAATATCTTAGTTGGGATTATGTGAAAGCTAGTTCTAGCATCCGAGGTTTTACTAAACCCTTTTAGATGACAGCAGGATGGTTGTTTGATTGGACAGAAGAGGGAGGTAAGGGATGTGCTCCTGTTCCTCAGTATGTCCTTTCACAGGAAAGGGCTGTGTTATGAGACCACTCAGTTTTAAACTCTCAAATTGCCAGCTTCAACACAGCGCAGAATACTGTTCACAAAAGAATCAAAACTTAAAGAAAAAAAGCACCTCATATGTCCAACTGCCAGTTTACCAATAGTTACAGCACAGAAATTTTAGCCTTTGAGCAGCTAAAATTCTGGCCAGAACAGACACCGAACAGTGATAAAATTTCCATATAGTCCTGTAACAAGCAATGCACTAGACTTGTTTGCTTGTTTAGTAAAGGCAGCCCCAACGTCTATACTTGCTCACATGCTCAACTTTTCATGCCAGCTTTTAACCTGGCCCGAACTCTTTATATCCAAGTTAGAAGATGCTGTTTGCAGAATTTCCCAAGGAATGCTGTCAAAGTCTCAGCTGCAGCTGTAAGAGAGGGGCAAACTCTTACTGTGGGTGCTGCAAGCAACAACATCATTCCGCAGGTTGATGCCCTCTTCTGCAGCCTGTCTGAAATAAGACCTGCCAAAATTCCACCTGAAAGAAGAGATAGGTGTGTGAGGAAAACACTCGGTGCATGTTTTACACAAAAGATATCAGTTATACTTCATGAAACCCAACCCAGATTAAAACAATAGGATACGACTTTTAATGTACAGTTATACACAGCAGCACAGAGCATGAGACTCACAACATAATTCGCACTTAGCAATATCCTTATTAACCCGACCGGTTTTGACTCGGAAGGTAACAGAAGCAGACAGTTGTTCTTCCACATTTTTTATGCCAACCAAATATCCAAGATGACAGAGCAGGGGTGGAACAGGGATGGAAGAAATATTTAGAAATCATTGTTCTGCTGCTTTTGAATGCAAAAAGTCTTTTCACCAGGTGCCACGTGGCCCCACTACTGGCACTCTGGAATCCAGCTGTGCCCAGCTACTCACTGGTCTCAACTCCTCACGTGCACCAATAAACTTGGCTCTCGACTGCTCTGTCCATGTCGCACTGCAACCAGGGGGAATGAGCTTTTCTAGATCTTGGGGCAAATGAAATATTTGTTTTTCTCTCCACGCAGTCACTCCAGGCTCTTTACTGTTCCCTACTTCTTGTGTTTGCCAATGACTGTACACAGAAGTACTAGTCGGAACGTGTGGCAGGAGGGGGGGGCTGCAAGGCCTGAGGGAAAGCGCTGCCAAAATGACATAAAGGGAACTTGGTATGGGGAGAAGGGAGGGATGTTCTCCGGATTCTCCAGATTCCTAAGTACCACTGGGCCTGCCTCTCCCTTCCCAGCTGCCCATCTCCAAAGTGCTCACATTGCACTTGAATTTAAATGTAAATGCCAAAGGTCTAAGCAGCATGCAGCACCTTGTTAAGATTGTATTCACAGTGGAATAAGATGCTGCTGAAAGAAGTCACCCACATCTCTAAGGTAGTACTAACTCTGGCTTCCAGCTATCTGGGATGAGATGAGCAATGAGAAATGGCAAAAGTCACATCCAGCACAAGACTGGAACAGTAACTGAAACACACCTTGACACCTGCGTCTTGAACTACCGGGGCCTACATAGCTCTTGATCCAGTGAAACTTCTCCAGCATGAGCATCATTTTCCAATAGACTGATACAAGGCTTACCTCCATAAGGGAACTGAGGGAAGTGGAGGGGGACAGCGGGTCACACAAAATCAGCTGGGCATCAAGATGGTGATGCTTGTTTTATTGTGAGCTGTACTGTCTGCACTAAACTAAAAATTTAATTATTCAGTGGTCACCTCACAAATTACAAAGGAATAGTCTCATCCTTATTACATTTTCCCAATTTTATCACATACAGTTGTATGAGGCATCAAGAAAAAAAAAACAAAACACCTGTAGCCATTCACCTCTGTGCCCACAAAAAATACACAACTGTACAAGCTGGGATAGTTCTGTTATGTTTGAGCGACAAAAGGAAGATATTTTGACAGATGGCATGACCAAGACTCATGGGCCAGAGCTGATTAGCAGAGCTAAAAGATTCCATAATATTTGGCTCTAAGAATCTGTACTGGACAATATCATTGGCTCTGTGAGTTTTCAATTGAAAGATATTTTGCTAGGTTTTCAACAACCAACCCAGCTCTCAACTTAGTACCTTTACTGCCACTATTCTTCAGTGGACGGAAGGCACAAGGACTAAAAATATGTAAGCTGTGCGTACCACAGCTTTTCCTAAACTGGTCTGATTAAGGATGAAATATTAATATATAGAACTTACCGAAGATTCCACCCACATCAAACAGTGTAGAAAGGTCCCCAGCTCTTTTGGCATCAAGATGTTCTAGTGAGAGAAGAAAAACATTTGTCTCATTTCCAGACTACAAAACGTAGAAATCTCAACACAGTCTTGTCATGCTAGGGTAAAAGCATCTTACAGTACTAAGCTACCATAAGCTGCCATTGTATATGACAAATAAGAGTGTATCATAACTGGGTATTCAGGGATACAGTCTTTTGAATGCAATTACACTCACGGTTGGACATTTTACCATTTTAACTATAGACACAGTCCAAGCAATAGAGCTGTCGATTGTTAAAGTCTGGACTAATAATATTCCCATTTGTGAACAGCCACAGATTCATAAGCCGTTAACAAATGCTCGTGAGGCTCTTTGCTCTAAAAGCATGATTAGCGTACATTTGGATCACTTATAGAGCCTCATCCTGGAGGCCTCCATCACACGACCAGTAATATTCAACATTAAATTATGTCTGGCAACCCTGCTTGGCACAACATACACTGCGCAGTTTATGGGGACTATGAAGAGACAGTGATTTCCTTAACTCCACTGTTTGGCATGGGTAGTGAAGACCACTGTTTGCACATACTTATATTTAGTCTAATGTAGTTACTGATATACTACAGGGTCAGATTTCCAGAAGTACATCAGAAAGTTGGGAAAGCCAGTCCTATTGTGTTGTGTGAAGTTTCAAAAGGAGCTGGATTTCTAAACCCGTTTGGTATTTTTTTTTAAAGTCTCTGAAATACATTTGAAAGAGCAGTATGTGCCAAAACAGTGGTGTCAGTGGCACTACCATAACCTCACCAACATCTGCCACAGCACAGATGGCAGTATTGTGGTAAATATCATTAACCTTTCTATTAAAAGCATGCTGCTTTCAAGGTACCCAGTCCGGCAGGAGCACTGGTTATTTGGAGTCCACACACACCAGCCTTTAGTCATAGGATCTGCAGCTCTATGTGTTTTCATAGGGTGTTCAACCTGTCTCTCTCTGCTGGTTGTTACTGCCATACTTGTCCAGCACAGCTTTTTTGTTAGCTGGGGGTTTAAAGGTCACATCATGACTCACAAGAACATTAATTTCTCTGGCTAGGGAGAACTCCCTTCTCTGCTCTCTACAGCACAAACAAAAAAGCAGCACTGAACAGATAAAGAAGTTCATTTAGATGTTTTGTATATGTTTAAATAAGGCACTGCAATCATGTAAAAACATTATTAGAAAGTAAACTTTTTCGTTCGTTTGCAAGAGCCAAGACACAGCATTTATGCTTGGAATTGTAGAAGATAAGCCAGATTCTTTTTTTGTTTGTTTTGAAAATGCCCTCTCATAATACTGAATTCATAAAACTAAGAAATATGTCAGTTGGTGACTTACAACTCTCCTGCTACTGTAGCAAAGATAGCCTATTTCAGAAGCAGTAATGTTTATTTTCTTATTTATTTCAAGCTCATATTTCCAGACACTTTGTAGTCATAATTCTGTATCCCCTTACTGTGATACTTACCTACATTTGTGATATAGAGGGGAAGCCAGAAGAGGAAAGTATAGCTCACCAGCTTTGCAAACAGAAGACAAAGAGAGAACTCTATGACTCCCTGAGAGAATAAAGAAAATAAGAAGTTAGTATCTTGACAGAAGCTGCTATTTGCTTTCAAAGACCATTATGAAAATGGTTTCTAAGAAGCATTTAGGCTTTTCTTTTTCTCTCAAGAATTCCCAAGAAGCATTCTTCCCCTGAGAGCACAAAGCTTACGATCAGAGCAGACTGTGGTATTTTACTGATGTGTTTTCTCTTCTCTTAATTGTACTGAATTGACCCAAGAGAGAACACTAAAATGAACAGGAAGGATTTGATACTGTTTGGGACATCTGCATCACTTATTTTCCTCACATAAAGAGTTTTTATATAGCATTATAGCAGGTTTGGAACGTATTCCAGAGAAACTGGCATATTTCTGTGTTCTTTAGATCTTCCCTTCAGATGGGTCTAAGATTTCTCCCTTATTGTTTAACTCTTTACAAAAAGCCCGTTAACCAGTATGACACAGTTCGAATCAGTATGTGGCAAGAGCACACTACAGACAGGGCATATGCCTATTTAAAATACTGATTTGTTCCATCCTCTTTCCTGCTGGGTACATGAAAAGTATACTTACTGCACAGAGCTGCAACTAAACTGCCAAATTAACCTATCTTCATTCCCCTCACCATCTGGTATCTTCTTGTTTGAAACCGGATTTCCTAAATCCCTGGTACAGAGTACTGCAGTTATCTGCATGGACACCACACATACACAGCTGGCTCTACTTCACATACAGCTGTGACCATTCCCAACAACAGGCAGGAAAAATACTACAGTTACAGAGATTCCAGGTGGCAGCAGCAGCAGTTTTTTCTACCCATTACTTCCACTTGCCACAGGAAAAACAGTTGAGACAGAGGATCAGAGTGGACAGGATGAGAAGATGCAGGAATACAGTGGTTGGGTGCTGGGGATTTCCTCCCCTACCTTTACACCTGGTCCAAATCAATTTGCATATAATTCTACCTGTGCAACCTACTGAAGCTGCGAGGCTTCAAGCTGAGAGGACAATCAAGAATAGTAGTCCCTGACCTAAAAGAAAATTCCTTTCCTTTTACCAGCAGTCTGAATGTTTGGGATGTCTGAAACTTCTCAATATAAGCCATACAAGAGATTTTAAAATTAAAGCTCTTAAAAACAATGTTGAGGAGTATAAAAGGGAAGACATGGAAGGAAGTTCTGATACAGAGAAGTGCTTATAGACTCAGCCTGCTATTCCATCCTTAATACCCATGTGTCATTAACTAAGACCAGTAAACTTTTAGAATAGACTTTAGAAGAGAATAGACTATTTCAGTTGGAAGGGCCCTACAACGATCATCTAGTCCAACTGCCTGACCAGTTCAGGGCTGACCAAGTTAAAGCATGTTGTTAGGGGCATTGTCCAAATGCCTCTTAAACACTGACAGGCTTGGGGCATCGACCACCTC